CGCGACCTCCCTCCAGGTGCTAAACTTTAAGCCTCGATGGACTCCACTGGGCTCTTTTTTCCGCCGGCCAAGAACAAGCCAATTGAAAAATCAACAACCCCCCCCCCCTCCCGCGACTTCCCCCAGCCACCCTGACCCCCACTTTGGAAACAGCCCCCTCCCGTGTTTTCCTTCTAGAACCTGAGCCCAGACGTCGTCGCGTGGGCAGCACGCCCTGCCCCCGCGGCCGGGTCTCAACAGCCCCTCCCCCTGCCTAGAGGTCTCTTGCCCCTCCCCCCACCCCCGCCCCCGCCCCGAGGCCGGAATTGGCGTCCGTGGGGAAGATCGTGGGCGGCACGTTCCTCCATTCCCCCGAGGGGCAGAGACCCAGAAGAGCCCAGGGTTGGCCCAGGTCAAGGGGAGAGGGGCCCCGAGCCTTCCTAACTGACCCTTAGTGTGGTGGGTGAGTCGCTTGGAAACACCCAGGTGGGGGCCCGGTGAGGGATGGGCTCATAGAGAGCCCAGACTGGACCCTGAGAACGGAGCCATCTGCTGGGCCATTGATCGGGAGCGCAGCCTCCCTGTGGGTCCCTCAGCATCGGCACCAACATGTCCACCCCTGGGAGGAGGGGAGGGGTCCAGTCTCTCAGGTGGGAGAACCTCAGACCAAAAACCTGATGTCATTCTGCCACGCCCACCCTGTTATGGCCAAGGGGGGGGCAGTGATGCCCAGAGAGTGACACCCCTGGCCATGGGCGCATGGATGACCTCAAACCCAAACCCAGGCTCTGACCCCAGGCCAGGGCCTCCCCAGGCACCCTACCTTGGCTGTCATTTCCCTACATGAGTTGGACTCCCTGTGGGGGAGGGGACGCTGCTTAACAGCTGAGACTTGAGGAAAATGTAGCATTCATGCCATGCCCTGAAGCCAAACGGGAGGGGGGAGGGTGGGGGGGGCCTGCTATGATTCTCTTTCTCTTCCCTCCCTCCCATTGCCCAGCCAAGGTTCTTAAGCACCCACCCCAGTGTGCCAGGCACTGGGGACAGAGAGGTGGTCCAGCCTGGTTGGGGGCACAGGTGAGCCAGGTGGGCAGATCAGCTGCCCCACTGCTGAGGATAACAGGTATTGCTTTCCCTGGTGGGCTGGGGGCTTCCCTGGACTGAGCCAGGAAGGCTGGTGGCAGTGGCCATTGCCTGGGCTTCTGGGGCACTGGGCTACATGGTCTTTTCTGGAGCTGGCAGTAGTCCTGTGGGGCCAGGACTTGGCATTGCCTCCTGGAGTTGGGGGGTCCTGCCTTTCTCTCCTTCTCTCTTAGTGTTCTCAGAGCTGCCACAGGTCCTTTCCAGAACATTCTTTCCTTGCCAGTTTGGGGGCTGCCTCAGTGGGCTTCAGTCCTGCATTTAGTGCCTGGGGAGTAAGGGAAGTTGGTGATCATGGCTCCCCACAGTAGGTCACAAGGTTTGGGGGCTCACAGACCTGGTCTCTGGCAAAGTCCTAACCCTCGCTGGGCCTCAGTTTCCCCATCTGCAGAGTGGGGGTCCTAACCACACCCAGGTGCGGGGATGTTGGGGGATGGCTGAGCCCCTGTAGGTGAAGCACCTTGCCTGGTACCTGGCCCCAAACAACCCAGTAGAGGGTCCCTGGGGGCCGTTAGACTGCATGGCTGCCAGTTTCTCACGCAAGAGACATACATATTGGTCCAAGTGGAGGGGTCCTGGGGTGTCCAGAGGGATGACCTCATGGCCAGGTCCTGCCTGCTGGCCCCTAGAACAGGGTCTCTGTGAATTGCAGGCTGAGCCTGGGGTCTGGCCCGAGCTGTGAGAGGGCAGGTCCAGCCCCCATGCTCTAGGGACCGTCCAGTAAATACTCATTGCATGAGGAAAAAGATTGTCACCCAGGGGTATTGGGTCCTCAGGGGCTCCATTTTGTGTTCACATATACTGCTGGGGGGCCCCCCTGCCGTGGCCTCTCTGCCTGACTCCCACCCCACACTGTGGTCCCACTTCCAAGTCCCCAGAGCTGTCACCCTCATGCCTCTTTGCCTTTGCCCAGGATGTCCCCTCTGCCTCGGATGCCCTTCCCCCACCTCTCATCCACATGACAAACTCTTTTCCTCCCTGTCACCGTTTCCCTATGGCTTTCGTGACCTTCTTGCCCCTCCCTCCCAAGTGGACTCAGGTGCCCTCCCTGCACCGAGCCCTCTGCTGGGCGTGGGGTCACAGCAAGCCTGAAGCCAGCCCTCCAGGGCAGTGGGCACAGGCCCACAAGAGCCCTCCCAGGCCAGTGGGGGCTGCCCCGAGTGCTCTGAGGTCTCCCGCCGGGGACACCGGCCTGGGGTACTGCTGCACCTAGGGAGAGCCTCCCGGAAGCACGGACTCTTGAGCTGAGGCTTGAGGGATGAATGTGAATTTGCAAGGAGGACAAACAAGCCAGCTTCCGAGAGGTCCAAAGGCCTGGGGGGTCGAGGAAGCAGAATGTGTTCGGGGAGACAGGTGAGGGGTGGGGACTGGAGGTCAGTGGGGCTCTCCCTGTCACTTGGAGTGTCCTCTGTCCTCCCCAGCGCCCCAGACGGGCACCCCGGAGAGCATAGCTTCAGTCTGAACGCCGGATTTCTGCAGCCCGGGTGCCTGGCAGCGGCCGGCACACAGTAGGACTCCCCCCCACCCCGCCCAGGTGGCACGTAGTAGGCATGCAGCCACACCAGGTAATAGCCTGGTCCCCATGCCCCTTGGCCTCCCTCCGCAGTACCCAGCTATCCTGCCACCGACTGCTTGAAAAACTATTGTGCGGCGCTCACATGTTTGCGGGCATTACTGTGTCCCGGCTGGCTGGCTGCGTGCTGCGAGCTGGCAGCGCCTCTAATCCCTCAGACTAACCCCCACCGCACGGCGCGGGGTCGCCTCTGCTCGCCTCCTGCCGCGCGCCTTTGGGCAAGCGCCTTTCTCTGCCGGAGCTCCGGGTCCCTCCCCTCCCCCGTCAGATGGGGGGGTCGGCCGGCACTTCTCGGCCGGCCGGCACTTCTCGCGGCACCTGGGGCTGCTCCTGTGAGGAGTCTCCACCTCCCCCCCCTCGCCGCCGCCCCCCAATACAGGCTTTCAAAGTTGTGACCTGTCATAGGCATGCCGGGAAGTCAGTATCTGCACCGTTTCGCAGTTAAGTTTAGAACGACCACCTGGCGGCCAGCACTCAGGTCAACAAGTTCCACGCTACCACCACCCCCCCCCGGGGGTCCCCCAAGACCTTTCCCCAAACACAGCCCTGCGCCACCCCCCAGAAGTCACCAGGAGCCTGACTCCGTGATCCCGCGGTTCCTTGCTGCGTGCCTCTGCCGCCCAGAGAGCAGCCCGAACCAAGCCGGTTTCATTTTCCCTGATTTAGGATCCCGTCGCCCTAAATCAGCCTGTGCTCCGGGGGGCTGGCTTTTTTCACCCGGAGTCTCTTTTTGTGACAGTCCCCATGGTGGTCCGCGGAGCTGTCCCTGGCCGGTCGTCCGGGCGAAGGGCGTTCCCGAGTGGTTTTCCTGCAGTGCGTTCGTGCACTGACGGAGGATTGGGCAGCTTCCAGCCCGGACCACGGCGGGAAGGCTGCTGCGGGCACCCCCGCCCCCCGCAGGCGTCTGGGGACCGCGCCGCGTCCCGGCGTTTCCGGGTGTGTGCCCGGGAGCGGAGTGGGAGCCGAAGGACCCGGCAGGGTGCAGGGCGTTCTACGAGGGCGGGGGCCGTGTGCGCGATCAGTTTTGGAAGATAAGACCACCCTCTCCACGTGCGCCTGCCACGGTGCCCCTCGGGCATTGTCCAGGGACCCTCGCAGGAGCCCTTCTTCCTGCCCGCCGCCCGCCCTTGACGGCTTCTCCCCGGCACCCCGCCGGCGTGGGGGCAGGGGGCCTTGGTCACACCTCCCAGGGGCGCTGCCCCTCCCCGGCTCCTCCCTGGCGGAGTCAGCGCTCTCCTCCCTTCAAGGCGCCGGTCTTACCCACTGCCGGCGGGAGCTGCCAGTTTTGCACGGGGCAGACACACCTCCCGCGGTCCCCTGCTTCTCTTTAAATGGTTCTTGGACGAACAGAAGTTCTTAATTTTAATTTTGTCGAATGTCTCAGCCTTTTACTTTTTGATTAAAGTTTTTTTGTGTCTTGTTTAAGGAACCCTTATAATGTCATGAAGCTATTGGCTTTTAATGCACTTGAAATTGGTTTGAGGTTGAGGTTGGAACTTTTTTGCCTCTCTCTCTCTCTCTCTCTCTCTCTCTCTCTCTCTCTCTCTCTCTCTCTTTTGCACAAGGACACCCAGTATTGGGCCCCCACTCTTCGATTCACTCACTCGTATGACTGCCAGGCTGATGTCCTGGAGCAGAGACAGAGGGTGGGCAGGCAGTCTCCCCAGTGGCCTGCCCTGCCTTGCCCCGCCCGGCCCTCTGGGCTGTCACTCTTGTTCAATTTGTGCATTGACCAAGCATCCAGCACATATTTATTAAGCACCACTATTTGCCAGGGCCTGTTGTGGGCACTGGGGCTGCTGCAGTGACCAACACAGGCAAAGACCCTCCAGTTAGCAGGGGACAGAAAACTTCCTAAAATAAATACTACAGTGGCAGGTGCTATGGGGACAGACAGGAAGGAAGGCAGTGAGTGCGTGTGGCCTGGGAAGGCTCCTGAGTAGGTGCCCCCAGCCTCAGGTGTGGGCAGCCCAGAGAGCAGCTACAAGGGGGGTTCCAGGCAGGGGCACAGGAAGTGCAAAGGTGGCGGGTAAGAAGTGACAAGGGCCAGAGTGGCCGTGGAGGCGGGCAGAGAGTGCTGAGGTTAGAGAGTGCTCAGGCACCCACCCTCTCTCGAGTGAGCTGGCCTGGGCCCCCCACCTGCCGTCATGGAGCCGGTGCAGGGATGGGGGGATCCTAGACACAGCTAGAGGGGAGCGAAGTCCATCATTGTAGCTGCGAGGCTTCTCTTCAAGACTGAGTTTCGCCCTGGGGGCCGCCCTGAGTCTGTGTGTGTGTGTGTGTGTGTGTGTGTGTGTGTGTTTTGCAGGGGAGGGGGGGCAGGACCAGCCAGGACCCAGGGCATCCCAGAGAGGCCCGAGGGCTTGGGGTGGGCACCCTGTGCCCAGCACTCCAGGGCCACCAATCAGCATCCCACATCCCTGATCTGCTTCACAATGCCCAGAATTCCAGAAAACAGGCCTCCTGCTGATCCAATTAATAAGTTTGGCCACGTCTGTTTGCAGTGGTGAGAGGGCTGGTGGGGTGGTCAAGTTAGCAAAGCCGGCATGGGTTCCTTGGTGGCCAGTAATGAACCTGATAATCAAAGAGTTGCATTGCAGCCTCTTCTCACCTGGGCTCCAAGGGAGGTGGCAGGTGCTGGGAGGTTAATTTGGGGGCCCTGCAGGGAGCCATCCTTGCTGTGGGGCTGGCCCTGTGGTCATCTGGCCTCAGGGCCAAGGTACACCTAGCCCCACCCTCCAGGGAAGCCCCACCCTCCTTTAGAGGGGAGCTGGGCAGATGGTCAGTGTGCCAGGCTAGGTGCTGGGAAGGAGGGGCCAGGCAGGTGCCCAGGGAGCCCTGACGGAGCCAGAGCGTGCTCCCGGACCCACCGTGTGGCTCACCGCGCCACACGGGGCAGTACCTGGAGGGTGAAAGTAGCCACGGTTTGTGTGCCAGAGGGAACGGTCTGGAAGAGGGGGAGAACTTGGCGGTTCAGGAGCCGGAGGGGGGCAGGCGCGGCAGGTGGAGGGCTGCCCGCGGGGCTGCCTGTAGTAACAGGCGGCGTTGCCAGGTGTCGGGGCAGATGCTGGTAGGTGGGTCACGTGGCGGTGGCATCTGTGGAAGTTCCCTTTGGATGGTTCCAATCTCAGCGGAAGAGGAAGCGAGGTCATCCTCCAGTGGGGAGGTGGAGAGGCAGCAAGGAGGTGTGAAGTCACTTTCCAGGCGAGTGGGGAGGGAGAAGGGAGCAGGGACGCAGCGAGGTTCCTGGAAGAGCGCTCGGCAGGCCCTGCGCAGGGTGCAGAGAGAGCTGGGGGCTCGAGGGGAGGGCTGTGCAGCCATTGGCTTCCAAGTGCGGTAAGTGAGGGGCTGGGCTGGTAGCGGTGAGGGGCGCGAGGGCGCGAGCTGGAGAGTAGGGGGTGTCGGAAGTGGGACTGTGGCAGGGGTCTGGGAGCTGGGCCTGCCCCCCCCTCCCCGCATGGCTGGCCCTCCTCTGCGGCCGTGGCTGCGCGGCAGCTGTCGGTGCAGCCCCGGCAAGAGCCTTCCCTCAGCCCGGCAAATCCATGGTTAGGGAGTTTTCTTTTTCTTTTTTTTGGTACCAAAATTTGATCCTTAGTACATTTTTTTCTGATTTTTCATCCTCACTGTAGAAAATATGACAAATCCAGAAGAGCATAAAAGAAAAAAAAAATGAAACTAGCCAGCACCCCCCCACCCAGACGTAACAATATTAACATTTCTTTGCTTCCATTACTGTGTGTGGCTGTCGGGAAGCAGTTCCTTTTAAAATAGGATTAGCCGGCTCTTTCCCTTCGCGCCCATCTGCCCGTGTCTTTAGGCAGCCCAGGGAGGCCTGGATTCTGGGCAGCGTCGCCGGCGTTGTTGACGGTGCCAGCCCCCCTCGCAGCAGACCCGGTCTCTGGCTTCGGCCCCGGGACCAGCGAGGCTGCCCGAGCCTCCCTGCACGCGGGTCTCTGCACGCCAGCCCCTGGCTGGTCCCCCGAGAGACTCCAGGAAGGGGACAGCCAAGCGGGCACACGTCTAAGGCTCCTCCCGCAGGGCAGCGCGGGGCAGGGCTGCGACCGTCCCACACCCATGCACAGGCCAGCCCAGACACGCCACAGGCAGGGGTGCATGAGCAGGGGTCCCAGGGGAGGGTGAAGACAGCGCCGGGGTAGACCGACTCCAGGGACCGCTGCCCATCCCCTAGTGGTGGGACAGGATGCCTAAAAGAGGCACCAGGCAAGTGGCGGGTGACCCTGCTACGGTGGGACTGCGTGCGGCTTTCAGTGAGGGCTGGCAGGTGCGCGCGCCGGCCCCTTCTCTGCTTCCTGCAGCCCCCCCGCCCTGCGGCGTGCGGATGGTGAGCTTCCTGGCGGGGTGGGGATGGAGCCCCCTCTGGGCGCAGCCCAGGGCCGTGGCTGCGTGCCCGCCGTGGGCCCGGCGCGGCCCCGCGCGCCCGGCCGCCTTCTGAGCAGCAATGTCCTCTCTGCCCACAGGCTGCGCAGCCCCTGGGTGCCCTCGTGCCTCGGGGAGTCCCGAGTCCTGCAGGGCCGGCTGGCCAGGTCCTCGCCCTCGCTCTGGGACAGGTAACACACCTGTTGTCTCCCCCGGCCCTCGGTGTCTCTGCATCTGTCCCCAGACATCCTTCCCATGTCTACATCAACTCCCGAGAGGACAGGGGACCGGGAGGGGCTGCTAGGCCACCAGCACGCCATCTTCATGCCCCAACCATGTGCTCCATCCCCGCCGCGTCCTCCTCCTCCCGGTTCATGGGCCGCCCGCGCGGGGAGGGAACCGCGAAGCGCGCGTGCACACACACGCACCACACACCACACACGCACCACACACCACACACACACGCACCACACACACGCACCACACAACACACATCGCACCAGCACACACCGCACCACAACACACACCACGCACCACACACCACACCACACGCACCCACCACACACACACGCACCACACACACATCACACGCACCACACACCAACACACCAACGCACCACACACACACACACGCACCACACACCACACACCGCACCACACACCACACACACACATGGCCGCACCACACACACCACCACAACACCACACACACACACAGCGCACCACAACACCACACCACCACCACACACACCACACACGCACAGCACACACCACACACACACACGACCACAGCACCACCACACACAACACACCAACACACACACGCACCACACACACACACACGCACCCACACACACACACACCACCACACCCACACACACACGCACCACACACACACACACGCACTCACACACACCACACACACACACACACCACACACACAGCATACCACCACACACCACACATCACACCGCACCACGCACACACGACACGCACCACACAC